TTTACTTAACCGCTTACGATGGTTAGCTTTGGGGCATATTTAATTTAGCATCCTTATGCTATGCATGTTTGCATCATTCATCTGTATTGCATGCACCAGGCTCGGCGCATCATACTCACTGCATTGTATTTCAATTCCTACTTAAATACATGTGTCGAGTTGTCGTATCTCATATGCCATCTTAGAATAGTCGAGCCTATTTCTAGTTGCATTTTGCATGTGTTGCATTAGCCATCTTAACATAAACTAGGGTCATGCATTGATTTCTAACTAGTTCTCTATTTTGGCTCGGAGTACACTGTGAGTGTTTATGCTTTAGCATACTGCATGTGTGTTAATGTTGCCATGTTAGCATGCTTGCCATGAGGCTAATTGCTTATGTGATATAACTGCCTGAATGCTTGTGGGTGAAGGTTGGATTACTTGAATTGGAACGATTCATTGAAATCCGTGTTTTAGCCTACTTGCGAGTAGCAAATTTCAAAACCATTTCCAAACAAACGGATATGCGATGCTTTGTTCCAAATTAGGCAATCTGGTCTATACTTGTGTGTTGTGCGCATCACATAGTAATTCTAGCTAATTAGCCGGAATAAGAACGCATGTGTTTTCAAAAATAAGATATCATGCTTAGTACAGGCCGATCTTTAATCGGGCGAGTGAGGGTGCTCATTGCATGACCTTCCCCTCTCGTACCTAAGTTCCCGAGCCCAGGCAACTTTTGTGATGATGGACACATGGCCTTAGGCACAAGTCAGGGTTTCCTAAATTATCCAAAATAAAATATTTAGGTGGCGACTCTGTATCTGGCAAAGCAGTCCATGTTTGGCATTTCTTTCTTAAAAATCAGTTTTCCAAAACGATTTGCCGAATTTGGACACTTTGGTGATTTATTGGTCTTGCATTGCACTTTGCGAGATTAGATTCAGAACTGTGACATTGAGTCCGGATTGTAGTAGCTAGAGAACAAAACGAGATTTTCTCGAGAGCTCTCCGGGCGCGTCTACAGTTTCTGGCGACTCTGCTGGGGAGTTAGAGAACTTGACTCGAACTCATGATATGTTGTTTTGATTATACTTATGTGTCTCTTTGCATTGCATTTGCATTGGTGCGCCTAGGACACCATGTTTGCCGTATGCTATTCCTGAACGGTTTGTCGGAGGCATGCTTTGAGAAGCGTGCCATAAGGCTGACTGGTTGCGGGCTCTGCCACGACGGGAACACAAACCTCAATTTTCATCAAGGCACCCTTTTTTACCATTCGACCTGGTACATATTCGAAATCCATAGTGACTATTCCAAGCTAGGACAGGTTGCTACCCGATTATAGGTTGCTTGAAACCGCTGTGTGCGTAGTAAAACCCTAGCTCCTGACAAGATAGGACAGGAAAACCCTACCCCTCCATAGGGGTGTTTTGGCTCTTACTTGCATGATATTTGCTGTCAGAGTGTGCCTCTACAGGGATGTGTATATCAGTTTGCAAGTCTGGGTATCAGGCCTGAGGGCATCAGTATTTGGGAATCAGTGTTACCTAAGGGTATTAGTTTACAGGCAGAATTTTGGGCAGAATTCAGTAAAGAGTGCAGTCATTCAGTTGTGCTCATATCTGTTTTGGTGAAATCAGGCTGAGATCCTGCTGGTTTTCTCTTTTGCATAGTCTTGGAACCGTAGCTTCAAAAGGCTCCAATATCCCCCGGGGTTCATTAGACTTGTGCTAATAGACTTTGTCAAGTCAGAGATTCAGTTCAAGAGCAGCCGGTGTTTTCCTTCGCTGAGGCAAGGCAAAGAAAGGCCAATCAAGGCTCACTGGTTCGTCTGATTCATTAGTCACCAGTCACATCACCTCTGTTCAGTTCAGCAGACTCGTGATGACGCAAAATTCAGAAGAAATTGTGGTCATGACAGCAGCATTAAACCAAGGAATCGCCATGTAGGGTGAGACCGATGTTGAAATACAACGCCCGCCCGGGTCACCTGCCGTACATCCAATCTGGGAACTCCAATTATTCCAAACCCGTGAGCCTACCACTTTTGACCTGATGGGAATGATCGGCGATCTTCAGAGGTCTGTGGCTAATCTAGCCTTCGGAATGTCAGCTCCGCCATTGACCACATCATATGCCACAAATTTCATGCCGGAAGAGCCCCCGCTATTGGGGCGAATTCTAATTGAACTCAGTCAACCCGAAGCCATCCCAAGTTCCGGCAATGGCATGTCGACAACAATAGGACTTCACACTGATATAGCAACCCAAACCTTCAACCAAGCTAAGGCGAGCGGTAAGAACAAGTTGGGGGCGGACACTGATCCCCATGAACAACTTCTGCCGGCTGTTGAGGCTTTGAAAACCGGGGGACTAAACAAATAGCAAGTGCTCGCAGTTGCTACAAAAACTGTGGATGACACTTTTGTCACTTAGAACGAGGGCAGTTCGAGCCAACTGGAAAATCGGCAGAAAGACCGTTGTGCCAGAGCTGTTCCTCTTAACCCTAATTCTGTATCCGGGAAAGATCAGAAAACCAAATCAGCACCTGTCGACCCCTTTGCTAGTGCGTCCAGTAAAAGTCTTCAAACGTCGAAGTATCTACCCCGAGGTCACAGGGTCTTCCATGCCCTCTACATGCCTTTGTCCAAGGCTCTTCAAATCCTTGCCGAAAAAGCGCATCTCAAACCCCTCAAGCCTCGGCCTCTCCCTAGTCGTCTTCCATCTGGTCATGCCGCTACCCAGTACTGCGCGTACCCTCAACAAACTGGTCATAGCACCCACAACTGCTTTCGTCTTCGCCACGAAGTACAGGACCTAATTGACAACGAGGTCATTCTCCCACCAAGCTCAGCAAAGTCTATTGTCACTGGATCAGTGAACCTGGAGGATAATGTGATGTAATCAAGGGATGAACCACCTGCGGGCGGCACTCAGTTTACTTTAGATGTGCCGTATGGCACGCACTATTTTGAGCATTTGCGAATGTTAGTTTTTGTACTTTCTGACTTGGGTATTCAGTCAGTTTTGTTGTTTTGTATATAGTCAGTCTTTTTTTGTACTATGTCAGTTGAGTCTGTCTTGTTGTATCGAGTCAGTCCTGTTGCATAGGAGTCGAGTGATTTTGGGGGCGTTACCTCGGATATCACTATTTTATTTTTTGTTTGTCTTTTCGCTTTCTTTTGAGCCTATTTCTACCGTGGAGCCAATTACACCAGAAGATCTAAATGAAACAGCTGTGGTTTTCATGCTTTTGTGTTTGTTTCTGCTTTGAGCCTGTTGTGCCAGCAAACTTGAATGAAACGACAGTGCATTTCACTTGCTCTTCTGTGCCTTCAAATCATTACATTGACCTAAGTTTTTTTCAAAACTTTTTGAACACTGTGGTGAAAACAAAGAGGAAGGAATTCCTTGGGTTTTGCAAAAATTTGATCAATCGAGAGAAAGAGAGGCGTGCTAAGCCCTTAATGAATGAAACCAGGCTTGCTAATGTAAGTACTGAGAAAGATCCTGCCTTGATCTAGATTGGTTCTACATTGTCTTCCACACGAGCGATTAGTCGCTTTCTTAAAAAACTTCAAAAAATTGTTTTGCGTGGTTTTGCGAAAACCTGTGTGGAATCACTCTTGAGATTGTGCAGCATAGGATCGCTTACAGCCTCAAGACTCGACCCCTTGCTTTCAAACCTTGAACTTGGATTCAGAATGTTCAATGGTCAACCACAATGTGAGGCCTGTGTGGCCAGATTCGAAGCAGCCCACGAGCTAGGGGCAAGAAAAGTCAGATTAAGAAGATCGGATCTCATCAAAAGAAGCTTGCAAAGCTCAATCAAAAGCAGCCTTTGAACTAGGGGCAAAATATCAGACGAGCTCGAAGAGCCAAAGATGGATCATTCTACAAATCAATGAAGATAGACAAGAATGCCAAATCCCAGAAGGGAGGAAAGAAGAAAGTATTGCTGAAGGACAACCGAGTTCCTATCCACAATGCCAGGGGCAAATTCAACCCCCACAGGATGGACTGCAACATCATCAGCGAACAACAGCCACTCTCTTGGATTCAGATGGCTTCGAGATCTCAAAACCATTTGACGTGGACAAAGCTAGGCTTCTTTCATATTCATAATAATAATAATAATAATAATAATAATAATAAATAAATAAAAGCTATATCCAAACCAATAATCATAATATTTTGAAAAAGTTAGGCTTCTTTCATATTCATATCTCAACATGATAGAACTTGAAGGATTTGTGAAGCCCACTACGAGTCCTATTTTAATGATCTGAAACGTTCACTTTTTAAGACTCGTTAAGTAGAATATTAATGTAAAAAATCAAGATGATCGGTCATCGGTAATTATATATTTGAATCAAATTTGTATTATAAAAATTGGATGATTATTTTTAAAATTATATTTATCATCCATTTTTAAAAAATAAATATGATTCAAATATATAATTACGGATATTCAATCATCTTAATTTTTTTCATAAATATTCTACTTAATGAATCTAAAAAAGTAAACGATTTAGATTACCGAATTTGGTTCTGAAATGGACTTATCAAAATCAAACTGTCTCTGAAGTTGAGATGACAGAAGCCCAACTCATACTGATAAAGTAATTAATTTGTATAAAATTTTATAAAAAAATTCATTAAATACAATAATATATATATATATATATATTGGTAGTTGATAAATTTTTTTTAAAAAAAAATATTCACAAATATCAATATTGTAAAAATTGATATTTATTGTAAGATTAACTATTTTATTTTATTTTTTGTTATAATTATTCGTAATTTTCTTTCCAACCAATGATTCCAAACACTAATTTTAATATTTTAATAAAATACTAATAACATAATAAAAATAAATAAATAAATAAAGTAAGACCAAAACATCATAACAAAATAAATAATAGATGATGAACTGGTTTTAAAGCTCAAAGCATTTTTCTTTCTTTCCCATTGCAGACCCCTGTTATTCACACCTCTGCGCAGAGGTAGAAATGGCGAACAAAATATCCTACAAAAGAAGAAAGGCGATCACCACCTCTACTTCATCGGAAACCTCAGTACCGGCCTCAGCAAAAGTCATTGCTAGCAACGTTGATCTCCTCTCAGAGATCCTTTTACGTCTTCCTCCCAAATCCCTAATCAGATTCAAATCCGTCTCCAGGAATTGGCTCCATCTCATCTCCGATTCTCACTTTGCTTCCAACCACTCTCGCCGAAATCGCAATCTCTCGATCTCTGGCTTATTCTACCACCATTCTTGGCCTACAAATGAACAGCCTAACTCTGTCTCGCTTGTCGGCCAATCAAGCCTCCCCACACTCGCCTTCATCGAATCTCCTGCAACAATCAGGATTAAAAGCTCTTGCAATGGCTTACTCTTGTGTGAGATTTATCGCGATGTTTCTCAAAGAAAAAGAGTATGTTACATTGTTTGTAATCCCACCACCCAGAAATTCACTCCACTTCTTGATCATGGTGGTAATCCCTCACCTGCTTGCTTGGCTTTTGATCCTTCGCAATCACCTCATTACAAAGTTGTTTTGTTGCATTACATCCCCTCTCCTCAATTTGCTATCTACTCTTCGGAGAGTAAATCTTGGAAGCGTATTACTGTCGATGCACTACCTGTTACATATCTCAATGGGGTCTTTTGGAATGGAGCAATCCACTGGTTAACTGATAACTATCTCGTTCGATTTGATGTTGGTTCAGACGAGCAGATACAAATTCCAAATCCTATTGCTCCTAAAATTCTTTCTCTAGCCAAGACTAGGTATTTCGGAGAATGTGATGGTCATTTGCTTCTTATTCAGATGCGATTGCGTTCTGCTATGGGATTCAGAATCCTTCAGATGGAAAGTGACTCCTTCTGTTGGATTGTGAAGTGTCGCGTCAATCTTAGACCCTTAATTTCTGTCTTCCCTGATATAGATGACACGAGTAAAGACTACAAATTTCACGTGCTATGTGTTGTGAAGGAAGTAAATGAAAATGAATTTGGACTGGTGTTAGCTACTGCAGGCAAAATTATTTGTTATAATCTCAACTGCAAGGCATTGAAGGTGCTTCGTGATGATTTCTCCGAAGTTGACTTTTACGGATTGTATTTTAAGAAATATCCTTATAATTGTACTTATCAATTCGTTGAAAGTCTATCCCCCGTTTGAATATGCTTGACATGTTGGGACAGATATGTTTTGTTGTGTCTTTTTTCGTAGATGTCATATTTATTTCTTATGAATCAGTTTCATAGTGTTAAGAAAATGAATAGTTTTCCCTTCCAAATGTCAGCAGGTGCTTGTTATAAAACTTTTTAGGTTGTAATATCTTTTGTTGTCAAAATATTATTAAACTTAAATTCAGAATTCTATGATGTATGATCTCTGTTGGATGGAATGGTTCTAATTGGTCTATGATTGAATGGAAAAGATATATAAAAAATAAAAATAAAATAAAAAAACTGAAATTGAAAGGCCTCGTTGACATAATTTGATTTAGAATCAAGACATTATCATGTTTTTCAAGTTTGTAAAGTTAAAGTTGGTTTCTTTGCTAAAGTTACGGAGGCTGTGAATCCAGTAAAGTTAGTTATTGCCTTCTCATGTGTAGGTACATGGTTTTATCTTCTGCTATTGTGTTCTTTTATTTTTGAGTTTGTTACTTCATCTGAACATCATTAAGATCAATTGCAACATTGGTAGTTGTGGGAATTGACAAGGCATTATGGTTTGAGAAAAATCAATATGAATCATAGTTGAAAAAATTGCAAATTAATTTTACAAAAATGTTGAAGAGATTTGGTTTGTGGTTCATTAAATTAGTGAGTTCAAAATTTTGAGTTTTGCTCTTTCATCACAAGAAAAATGAATTGATAAGCAGTAAATGTCTTCAATATTTCAAGTGACAACATCACTTAGCACAGAAGAAATGGAAACCATTACAATGACTCAGGTTCTTCACCGAGAAGTTTCTTGCTGTCTTATTTTTGCAAACTGGTTTTCAACTGCTTGCATTCATCACCAACAAGACCTGCAATTGAAAAAACCGACCATTTTCTGATAGACATAGCTTCCTCTACTTCAATTGAGAACAACATTGACAAGTGTAAAGCACATTTTGATAGCCATCAGTTAACTATGACCAAGTGTGTTAATAGACGGCAAAATATGATTGAAACTTAAGATGGCAGTTGCATCAGCGATGTAAGACTATAACTGCCACTATATCCTGTTGAGATCAAAGACTCCATGGCTACAAAGTAACGATCTTGATTTTTATTCGATTTTCAAATTTGATAGAGAAAACAATTGGACTCTTGCTTACGGTTTTGATTTTCATTGATGTGCTTGCCTTGACTCTTTATTTTGCTGACTCGAAATTGCAGAAACCATAGATCTAAAGTTTCAGGTAAATACAGTTTTTTTCATAGTAATAGACATTTTTCTCTGTTTTCTGTGAATCGACTTCGGGATTGATTCCTTTTTGATTTTCAGGAACTTGAGAAAACTCACTTGTAATCAGAGCTAGCTTGGCACAGCTTCTCTATATCGACCTTGTGGTATGAATTTTTGTGATTAGAGTTTATTTCTATGTTGCTGCTATGTGCTTCTTATGTGGATCGGTTAGATTCATTGGAAATAAAACTAAAAGAATGCTGAGTGGCCACCATTTTTTTCCTTTGTGTAAAGCTGTGTGCAAAGTACGAGAGAATTAATTTCAGAAAAATTTGAAATAGAATAGCACCAAAACACACTTTGCTTGCTACAAAAGTTGAGATTATCTAATAGATGTATTTAAAAAAATAAGATATTTGTGAGAGTTTATTTCTATGTTGCTGCTATGTGCTTCTTATGTGGATCGGTTAGATTCATTGGAAATAAAACTAAAAGAATACTGAGTGGCCACCATTTTTTTCCTTTGTGTAAGGCTGTGTGCAAAGTACGAGAGAATTAATTTCAGAAAAATTTGAAATAGAACAGCACCAAAACACACTTTGCTTGCTACAAAAGTTGAGATTATCTAATAGATGTATTTAAAAAAAATAAGATATTTGTGAAAAAATATGTAAGAAAATTAATAAACACAAAAATGTATTGATTTTTGTATATATATATATATATTGTATTTTTTAGTATTTAGTGAATTTTTTAAATATTTTTTTCGTCAATTTTATACTTTCTAAGTATATTTAGATGAAGTGGATTTAAAAAGTAAAAATTGGTTAAAATGTTTAAAAAATTCACCAAAAAAAATAAATTTTGAAAACTAAAAATTTATTTTTAAAAACTTCAAAACCAAACAGAATTTGCTTGGGAGACTTTAAACGAAGGCTTTGTGCTAGGCTAAAGAAGGTGGGTTGGGTTTCAAGTCTCTCTAAGCTTTCAAGCTTGCTATTGGTTGCTAAGCAATGTTGGAGATTACTCACAAATCCTAACTCTTTACTTGGAAAAATAGTCAACGCAAAATATTTTCCAATTGCCAACATGAGAATGGAATCTTCAAGGGTAGTTCCATAAATTCAATGGAAATCTCTTCCGGAGCATTTATTCATGATAAATGTCTATGACAATTTGAATTCGGAAACAAAACGTGCATTTAAAACGTGCCGCCATAGGCTGTAAAAATGCCATCAAAGGACATAAAGGCATTTATAGTTTTACCTCTGTAATACGCTCGCCGTCTTAAGTTTGTGGCACCATTTTAATGACGTCGCTACACTTATAGACGACATTTTTTGAAGCTGTCTATAAGAAAATGGCTTGTTTTTTTCAATTAAAGGCCTTGTTGGTAATGAATGCAAGCAGTTGAAAACTAGTCTTGCAAAATATGCCGAGTCTGTCTAGCTCTACTAACAGACACCAAGAAAAGTCTTGGTGAAGAACCTATGTCAAAAGTATTGATTTCCATTTATTCTGTGTTGAGTGATGTTGTCACTTCAAATATTGAAGGCATTTACTGCTTATCAATTATTTTATTTGTGATGAAAGATTAAAACTGATATTTGAACTCGCTAATTTAATGAACCACAAACCAAATATCTTTAAAAATTTTGTAAAATTAATTTGCAATTTTTACAAAACATGATTCATATTCAATTTTCAGAGACCATAGATCCAGGGCTTTGTTATTTTGAGGGGTTGCAAAGGGAGACATTGGGACAGATGTTAAAGGATGGTTCGAACTAGGTTTAAATGACTTATATTATTCTAGATATATGAAAACTTAAAATTGTTCGAGGGAGATGTTTTAGTCTTTCAATTAGTTGAACTTAACAATTTTATGGTAACGTCTAGAATTATGATTTTTCTCTCTCTAGATTATATGATTTGGTAATGGATTATTTGTTCAGTATATATTTTTGTCTATGATAGCTGAAATAACAAGTGAGTCCGGACTACAATATACAATTTTCTTGTTTTATAATTTGTAATGTGCTTGCAAATTTAGGTTCATTTTTTTTTTTTTATTTTCTTAAAAAAATTGTTCAAACTATCAAAATATACTAACAGTGTACACTACATAACAAACACCTAACCATTGCGTAGAAAGAACAGAGCAGCAAGGGTTTTATTTTTTTTTTTAAAAATGAATAGATTAATGTAAGAAAGGTGGAAATAAATAGACCAAACTTTCAAGGCTTTGTTAATTGCCTTTGCTACCAATGTTGCAATTGATCTTTATGATGTTCAGATAAAGTAACAAACTGATAAATAGAAGAACACAATAGAAGAAGATAAAACCATGTACTTTCCTGCACAAGAGAAGGCAATACCTACCTTTACAGGATTCCAACCCTCAGTAACTTAGCAAAGACACCAACTTTAACCCTAAAAACCTGAACAACATGATAATGTCTTGATTCTAAATCAAATTATGTAAAAAATGCTTTTCAATTCCATTGTTTTTAAAATATCTGTTCCATTCAATCATAGACCAATTAGAACCATTCATCCAACAAAGATCATACATTATAGAATTCTGAATTTAAGTTTTATAACAATCTAACAACAAAAGATATTACAACTTAGAAAGTTTTATAACAAGCACCTACTGCAATTTGGGAGGACAAAATATTCATTGTCTTAACCCTAAGAAACTGATTCATAAGAAATAAATATGACAAAGTTCTACAAAGAAAGACTCAAAACAAAACATATATGTTCCAACATGTTCAACATATTCAAACGGGGGATAGACTTTCAATGAATTGATAAGTACGAGTATAATGATATTGGTTAAAATACAATCCGCGAAAGTTACCTTTGGGAAAATCATCACGAAGCACCTTCAATGTTTTGCACTTGAGATTATAATAAATAACTTTGCCTGCAGTAGCTAACACCAGTCCCAACTCGTTTTTATTTCCTCCCTTCGCAGCACATAGCACGTGAAATTTGTAGTCTTTGCTTGTGTTATTTATCTCAGGGAAGACAGAAATTAAGGGTCTAAGATTGACACGGCACTTCACAATCCAACAGAAGGAGTCCCTTTCCATCTGAAGGATTCTAAATCCCATAGCAGAGCGCAATCGCATCTGAATAAGAATCAAATGACCATCACATTCTCCAAAATATTTAGCCTTGTCCACAGGAAGAATTTTAGGAGCAATAGGATTTGAAATTCGTATCAGCTCCTCTGAACCAACATCGAATCGAATGTGATGGTCATTACTTAACCAGTGGATTGCTCCATTCCAAAAGACCCCTTCGAGACGCTTAACAGGTAGTGCATCGACAGTAATATGCCTCCAATACTTACTCTCCGAAGAGTAGATATCCAATTGATAAGAAGGGGGAGTGTAATTATACAAAACAACTTTGTAATGAGGTGATTGTGAAGGATCAAAAGCCAAGTAAGCTGGTGGTTGAGTATCACCATGTTCGGGAAGTCGAGTGAATTCCTGGGTGGTGAGATTACAAACAACATAACATGTTGTCTTGCGATTGTGAATAAAGCAATCAATGTCGCACAAGATTAATCCATTGCAAGAGCTTACAATCCTAACTCTTCTACATTCGATGAAGTAGGGTGTGGGGAGGCTTGATTGGCCGAGAAGCGAGACAGACTTAACTTGTTCATTTCTAGACCAATAATGGTGGTAGAAGAATAAGCCAGAGACGGTGCGATTGCGATTTCGGCGAGCGTGCTTGGAGCCAAACTGAGAATCGGAGATGAGATCGAGCCAATTCTTCGAGACAGACATGAATCTGAGTAGGGATTTGGGAGGAAGACGCAAGAGGATCTCTGAAAGGAGATCAACGTTGCTAGCAATGACTTCGGATGAAGTTGGTGAGGTTTCCGATGAAGCAGAATCGGTGATCAACTTTTCTGAAGCTGGTGAGGTTTCCGATGAAGTAGAATCCGTGATCAACTTTAACCTTTTTCTGAAGGATATTCTGTTCTCCATTGTTGCCGCTGCGCAGAGATTGTGAATAACAGGGCCTTTAGGGTTTGCAAGGAAGGGGTTAATCCTACAAATCTCAATACTTACAAAATCTTGAGAAATAAATTTCCACTTAGAAGTAATTTGCCAACCGTGAGCTCGGAATGGCCTTGTTTGTTTTTGTTTTGAAATATTGGGTATTTTGGAAATATAGTTAAAAGTTATTTTTTGATTTTTTTGATTTTTTTTTTGTGAGAGAGAGAACTTTTAACCCACTTCTCAAAATAGGCCATTATTTTAAAAATAATTTTTGGAGAGAATTTAAAATTCAACCCGATGAAGTAGAATCCGTGATCAACTTTAACCTTTTTCTGAAGGATATTCTGTTCTCCATTGTTGCCGCTGCGCAGAGATTGTGAATAACAGGGCCTTTAGGGTTTGCAAGGAAGGGGTTAATCCTACAAATGTCAATACTTACAAAATCTTGAGAAATAAATTTCCACTAAGAAGTAATTTGCCAACCGTGAGCCCGGAATGGCTTGTTTGTTTTTGTTTTTGTTTTCGTTTTTATTTTTGTTTTTGTTTTTGTTTTGAAATATCGGGTATTTTGGAAAGATAGTTAAAAGTTATTTTTTCATTTTTTTTTGTTTTTTTTCTGAGAGAGAGAACTTTTAACCCACTTTTCAAAATAAGTCATTATTTCAAAAATAATTTTTGGAGAGAATTTAAAATTTTTGAAAATTTGTTTGGTCGTATATTTTGAAAATAATTTTAAATTTTAAAATTTGGGAAGATTTGATATTTTTTTATTCAGAGCTGCTACAGGGCCCGAAAGTGTTAGGCTCGAATTTGCCCCAAATCCAAAATGACGTCGTTTTAGATTTTTTTTTTTTTTTTCCTTTTTTTCTTTCGTTTTGGAATTTTCTCTTTTGAAGATGAAAAGAGAACAAAAGCAGAAAGAAGAAGAAAGAAGAAGAAAATCCAGTAGCCAACATCTTCATCAATAGCTAACATCTTCATCAACATCATCAACATCTTCAGATCATCAACAGCCAACATCTTCATCAACATCATCAACATCTTGAAATTTTTTTTGAATTTTTTTTTTTTAGCCAAACATTTTTTAGAATTTTTTTCTCCCAGAACATATTTGGAAAGACAAACCAAATATGCCCTATAAATTTTGTTTCCTAAAGTCTTAAATCTAAAAAATTAGATCATTTTGTAATATTATTATGTTATTATATTTATCTCTAAAAAAATAAATGAAAAATATGTTATTAAAAATCAACATTCATGAGAGCTCACGCATGTAACTATAAGGACATGTTTGATTTGGAGGATTAGAGTATGAGATTGAGATTATTAATCTGTGGGCCCAATTATCCTATGTTTGTTTTAACATTTTGGTTTAGGATTATTAATCCAATGGATAATTAATCCAACAAATTTGTAGGATTATTAGTAATGGGGTAGGGATAGGATTATTAATTCAATGGATATTAATCCAATTGGATAGTGAATACCACACTAATTTAATAGGATTATTAATACTTCACTATTAATCTTGTGAATCAAACATGACCTAACAACATAAAGGCTTAGTTTGGGGAGAATATTAGGTTAAAATGGCCTATTAAAAGATAAAATAGGCTAAAATAATTAATAAAATAAAATGTCACATTTAATTCATAATAATTTTACTTTTTCTCTCACAATCATTGAATCAATAAAAAAATAAAAAACTAACAAACTTTTCAAATGCAACTTTTTAGTCAAATTAAAATAATTCAAAAGTCAAATAACTAACTAAAATAATCAACTTCTCAAACAAGGTCAAACTAATATAATATTTACAGCCTATAATTTTTCTTTAAGTTATAATTACAAGATAATATTGCCATTAGTTATTTCATGATTTTAGTAATTTACTTTGAACCAACCAAACGACATCTATGCCATTTCAAAGGAAGAAAAAAAGACAAGGATGGCATGATTTTGGAAAACATCACTAAATGTCGTATAATGACATTAGCCGATAATTGAGATGTCATCAATATATGTAGATAATTATGATATTTTAAAAACATCGGCTAAATTATTTAATGACATTATAAATATAAGTAAACAATGACCGTAAACATTGTTTTAGCTTTAATGGCGTTTTTAGGATCTATTGCGGTGTTTATCACGTATCACTAATTTCAAAATTTTCAACAATGCATGGGTTTTATCTAAATAAGTTGAATCATTAATTTTTACCATTATAGAGTATCTATTAAATAAATAATATTAATATGGAATCACATTTCAATGTATCTGCCTTTAAAAAAATATAATTAAATAAAAAATTTTAAAAATGGACCACTTACGTTTATTTTTATTTTATAAATAAAACGATAAAATTATAAAACTATATTATCATATGAATTTGATAAATTACACTGGCACCCCATCAATACCTTTGAAATTACATTATCACCCCATTTATTTTCTCAAATATCACTCATTCCTTTACTTTGAATTTTTTTTTCATCAATACCTTTGAAATTACATTATCACCCCATTTATTTTCTCAAATATCACTCATTCCTTTACTTTGAATTTTTTTTTCTAACAACTACCCCATTTGGGGTTTGGTTTTCTAGCTAAAATAGTTAAAAAGTCAAAATACTCAATTATATCACTGTCTTTTTTTTTTTTTGTTTTTTGCATGTATTTTTATAAAAAATAAAAAAGACAACGAAAATAACCACTTCTCAAACAATCCTTAGTCAGGCAACAGCAACAGAGTGTTACAGACTATCTCTCTCAGCAAAACGACCTCTCTTTCTCAGCAAAATGAAGAATTTTTCAGAGGTTTCTCTCAGTTTTTCTGTCTCAGTTTCTGCCTCCTCCGCTTCGGTTTATAAAGACCATGACACAGAGACAGCATTCATTTTGCTTCCAACCTTCAATTGAAAATTGTGAATACGTCTCAACCAACCCCCGCAGAATTGCCAAAGTAACAATACAATTCATTTCTACAACATACAATGAGAGCAAAACAACTCAACAATACAAATCATAAGACTATTGACACCATAGGTCCATAACCATATTTATATCAGCAACCTTTACATGAAGAAAAACAATACCTGCTCAAAATAGAGGAACCCCACATAACATAATTTCGCTTCAAAACCTTCGGGGCCATATAGTATGGACTCCCCACGATCTTTGAAAACTTCTCCCCTAAATGAAGATGTAAAGGAAGTTTAAAAAATCATCAAAGAACCCACTCAAACCCCATAACATTCTCAGCTAAAATATTCAAGGTGACCAATTAAATTAAGAATAACAAATGCATGGAAATAATCAGAAGAATGTCTAATCATTGCCCAAAACATACACCAAGGAATAACAAATGCATGGAAATAATGGAATTTTGGGTTCTTTTGCTTAAGGCCCAAAACAACAGTCAAATGAAAACATACACCAAGTTTAGGAAAGGAAAAATTAAAATAAATATCGGCCAGGAAAAAAGAATAAAAGACATGAAACAGCACCTCAGACTTCACCATTCAAAAATCCATGCATAACACAATCCTAGTGAAACATAACATGACTAAAGATATAAAGGAAGACAACACACCAAGGAAAAATACATGCCCTGTTTGTGGATAAATGGTAACACCAATTTACAAAACTCATCCATGCCAGGATAGGTATAATTAACAATACTGTAACCCATATGAAAATCAACCAAAATTTCCCAAAATTTCAACAATTTCTTAATAAAAAAAAAAAACACTATGGATAGAGAAAAGTGATTGATAGAATGCTGGTTATTAAGTAAGGAAAAAGTGAAAAATATAAGGAATAAAAAATGCGAACATGATCTCTTGCTATTAGAGAGAGAAGGGAGGTTAACCAATGACCCACACCTAAAAATAATCTCAAAACACATACAAAGTTTGAACTATCCATCACAAAAATATAATTCTAATTACTTTCACATAATTCAACATATCACTAAAACTAATATCGAAAAACTATTTATAGTATGATATGTTTTTGTGCTCAAAACTTTGGTACATCAATTATGTTAAATAAACACACAAAAAAATGTGGACAAAAGAAGAATGCATACAACAACACAACTATAAAAAGAACACACATACAACAACACGCATGAGAAAGAGTAAGACATGAATTGGAACTAATTAAAAGGAAGCTACCATCCATCTGTTGAACCTCAAATATCCAAGTAGATCATTTTCAAAGAACTTTATTTTTTTAACACAAAAAATAAAATAAAATAAAATAAATACAAAATGAATAGCTGAAACAAAAAAGGAGAAGTCATCAATCACCAAGAATTTGCCCACAACCTTTAAGAGGGCACTTCACCAACATTAAGGGTTGAAAGTGAAGCCACCTTCTTCTTCACTTATGATGAGGTACCATTATGCATAATCATCCAATTAAAAGAATAAAGCAGTTTTAAACTACTTCAAGCATAAAGTAAGTTTGTGACTAACTAATAACATAGATGGTCTACTGAATTAATTTAGTTCCAAAACAAGCACGGGTAAAAAAAAAAAAAAGAAAAAGAAACGGGGAGAGAAAGAGGGGAGGAAAAAATAAATAAATTAGGGTTTTATTTTGGTGGCTCTTTAGTTCTTCAAATAATTATTTGATCTTCAAAAAAATATTATAAGTGTAAAACTCACTTCTCTTGATTTATGTTTAATTCGTTGTTTTTATTTGTTTATTTTTATTTATTTGATGTTGAATTGATTTCGTATTTGCATGTAGATGATTGATCGATTTTAATTATTTTGATTAGTTGTGTATGTAAGGTTCAAGATTTTTAGATGATTGATTGATTTTAATTATTTTGATTAGATGTATATGCAAGGTTTAGTTTTTTTTTTTTTTTATGTATTTATTTTATGATTACAATCACACTCATGATTATATGAAAATTGAAATAAACTTAGAATCCATAGATATTAGTTAGATGATGGATTGATTCTTTGTTTTTATTTATTTATTTTTATTTATCTAATGTTGCTTTGATTTTGTATTTATATGTAGATGATTGATTGATTTTAATTATTTTGATTAGTTGCGTATGTCAGGTTTAGAATTTTTATATGTATTTATTTTATAGTTGTAATCACACTCATCGCTATATAAAATTAAAATTTATTAAGAACTTATAGATAAGTTCCTTATACTCCACCATGGCTCCATGGATTATTATTTTATTTGAGTGATGGTGAGAAAGAGTATATAAAAAAAAGTGAGGATTATGAGATTTATTTGAATGTCTTAGGCTTGTCATTGTTATGGTGTTCTCATGAGTGAGATGTTTTGTATATGTATATTGTTGTCTCGTTCTCATAAGTAGACGAGTGCTTTGATTTACGTGCATACGTATATGCTAACCATCTGGGGAGTGCGGGTCAAACTCGGGACGATATCCCCGTGCAAGTTTGGCTTCGGAGCGGTGTTAGGTATACAGGAGACACATGGGATATATGTATAGGCCGGAA